TCCTCGTACCACCTTGGTCAAAAGTGTTGCTTAACCCTTTGGAGGTGTTGCCACGAAAACAGCTCGTTACATTGTATGCCGGGTCAAAGTGATTCCAGCGCTTATAGGGGCCAGGAGACTTGTTCCGGGGATCTTGATTCGGTGTAGAGGGTGTTTGTAGCAATATAGACTGGATCGAATTGATTCCAGCAATCTATACCAGGTTAAATTGATTCCGAGCATCCTAGAAAGAAGTGGCTGTTTTTTGCTTCTAATTTTAGTAGCATTGTTTACATAGGTTCGTTTCTAAGCTCTTTCTCTTGCCGCGAAGAGCAAGCTTTAAAGTCTAGTCGCGCAGCTTTTGTCTGAAAGCAGACAAAGACTGTTTTGTATTCCTTTAATTTCATTCGGTTACGAAACTTGCTTTTCTTTGTAAAGAAAGGTCCGTAGTAATTTATACCTGAATCCTGAAATGGTCGCAGCTGCGTCGTAATTCGACGTTCCCGTAAATTTCCTATTATATACATTGGAGTCTTGGGATTCAAGTTGCAAGACCGCGTGCATTGGCGTAGAATTGTTTTAATAGCGTTTGGAGTGATATCCTACCTCGTGAATAGAGTCTATTGAATTTATGTAAGTGAAATTCTACTAACAAGGAAAGCTTTTTAGGTGTCCTCTAGCGATTGTTTTGATTTTCGGATATGTTTTAGAGGACCGAGAAATAAGATATACGTATTTTTTCATATTGAAACGTCTCCCCAAAGGGTTTTCGGGCCAGATTTTATATACAGATAGAAAACCATGAAACTTTTTCTTAAAAAGTTTTCTTCCATACATGATAGTTTCGGAGATAGCCTACTGAAACCCTAGGGGTTTGTTTCACCGCCTAAATATGCAAACGAGCCAATATAAAAAAAAAATACGTATATCTTATTTTTCAGTCCTTTGAAACATATCCAAAAATCAAAACAGTCGGAAGCGGACACCTTAAAAAGCTTTTCTTGTAAGTACAGTAGAGATTACGTGAAGATCAGCATATTGAACCACGGTGGATTCATCGTTTTATAAGCTATTAGTTATAGTGAAAATATGCAGTCCCTGTCGTATGCACAGCTGTAACGATACGCATAGTGTGTCTGACCATTATCTCATTCTCCTTCAGCCGTATGATACGCGTAGTGTGTCTGACCATTATCTCATTCTCCTTCAGCCGTA